AAAAAAAAAAAAAAAAGGTACAACCCCAACAAAATCAAGTGAAAAAAATATGAGACCAAGAATAAAGGTGGAAAAAGATGAAGTACATAGATGATAAAGAGCTATGATTAATAAAATTCTCTATCTTTTGTATTCTCCAAAAACACTTTATGGGGAAAAAAACAAAACAAATAAACAAACAAAAAACGCTTTTCATTATGATGCCCAAAACCACCATGCCTAATTTTTGTACTTTTAGTAGAGATGGGATTTCACCATGTTGGCCAGGCTGGTCTTGAACTCCTGACTTCAGGTGATCCACCCACCTTGGCCTCCCAAAGTTCTGGGACTACAGGCATAAGCCATCGTGGTGGGCCAAGCAATACTCTCATTCCTCAGCCTTCCAAGTAGCTGGGACTACAGGTGTGTGTCACAATGCCTAACTAATTTTTCTTATTGTACTTTTTTTAGAGATGCATTTTTGTAGATGGGATTTTTCCATATTGCTCAGGCTGGTGTCAAACTCCTGAGCTCAGGCAATCCACCTGTCTTGGCCTCTCAGAGTGCTGGGATTAAAGGCATGAGCCATTGTGCCTGATCATACCATATTTTCTTTATCCAGTCTACCATTGATAGCCATTCAAGTGGATTCCATGTCTTTGCTATTGTGAATAGTGCTGCAGTGAACACTCTTGTGCATGTGTCTTTATGACAGAATAATTTATATTTCTTTGGGTATATACCCAATTATGAGGTTGCTTGGTGAAATGGTAATTCTGTTTTTAGTTCTGTGAGAAATTGCCACATTGCTTTTTACAATGGTTGAATTAATGTAAACTGTTGACAGTGTATAAAGTATGCCCTTTTCTCTGAAACCTTGACAGCAACTATTTTTTTGCTCTCTTTTCTTACCTATCACACAGCCAGAAAAATGCTTTGCGCATTTTCTCCTTTTTCTCATTAAAAATCAGTTGACTTTGTCTCCAGTGGTAAACATAAAATACTTCTTAATCAAACTGAACTTAAGTATATTTTCTTCCCACAGGCTCCTGAACTTTGAGCTAACCTCAGTCTGAGCTACCATACAACCCCATTTTATGTTTATCCTAAGAACATGCTGACCTCAGGGTAAAACGTTCTCTATCTAAAATCTGATTTTATTACCCTCCATGTAAACATTCCCCTCCTACCTCATTACTAATCCTGTTTGCTTTTCCCTAGGAAAAATAAAAGTCATTGTCTGCCTAATCTTTTCAATCTTTGAAAATCTTATAGTTGCTACTTCCCCCTGTTGCAATATTCCTTTGAAATTCAATTTTTTACATGTATCTAACTTTTATTTGAAAAAGTCTAGAAACTGCCTCAAAACAGTAACTTCATCTTCAGCAAGATCCTCCTAATACCCTTTTACATTAACCTTAACTGCATCTGCGTGTGGGTTGCCAGCTTTCCAGGGCTCTGTAGATTCTCTCAGTAAAGAGGCTTCTTCCATAGCTGGGGTGAGCAGGCTAGGACATCTGCAGGGGAGGCTCCCCAAAAGGAACTAACTGGGCCTTTAAAATTAGGCTTAGCTTGGAGTCACTGGGCTTAAGCTTTAATTTCTATGTCAGAATTATTAACTTGGTTTTTGAAACCATAACTAGGTGGTAGAATAATTCAGCAAAATTACGCAAACAGTGTTCATACAAGGGAAGAAAATTTTAAGGTGCTTACATCTTACACCTCAGTAAGAAAAGCAAATGTATTTATTCCTTCCAGACAATAAATGTATTATGTTATTATTTGTATCAAAAATCATGTAGTAAACAATTAGCTGGGCACAGTGGCTCATGCCTATAATTCCAGCACATTGGGAGGCCAAGGTGGGTGGATCACCTGAGGGCAGGAGTTGGAGACCAGACTGGCCAAAATGGTGAAATCCCATCTCTACTAAAAATACACAAATTAGCCGGGTGTGATGGCAAGCGCCTGTAATCCCAGCTACTCAGGAGGCTGAGGCAGGAGAATCACTTGAACCCAAAAGGCAGAGGTTGCAGTGAGTTGAGATTGTACCACTGAACTCCAGCCTGGGTGACAAGAGTGAAACTCCATTTCAAAAAATAAATAAATAAAATAGTCACACGGGAACACTTCTAGGAGGTACTAAGTTTCATCACATAAAATTTAGCATTAAACTCAAAAATCCAAAGACCAGGATATAGAACCAGGCACGGTGGCTCACATCTGTAATTCCAGTACTTTGGGAGGCCAAGGTGGAAGGATCATGAGGGCAGGAATTCGAGAGCATCCTGGGCCACATGGTGAAACCCTATCTCTACTTAAAATACAAAAATTAGCTGCGCGTGGTGGTGCACCTCTGTAATCCCAGCTACTGGGGAGGCTGAGACAGGAGAATTCCTTGAATGTTTGAACCCAGGAGGCAGAGGTTGCAATGAGCTGAGATCACACCACTGCACTCCAGCCTGGGCCACACAGCAAGACTTCGACTCAAAAATAAATAAATAAATAAATAAATAAGAAAAAAAAAAAAAACCCTTAGGTCAAAAGAAGTGAACAAAGCTTTTCAAGGTACAGATGTCTTCCTCATGTGTCAAGTCAGGCCATTCAATTACTTGAGAGACTGTCCCACCCCATCATGCTCACTTAAGTGCTCAATAACCTCCTCTCAGGAGACTCTGAACTATGTCCCCAGTGAGTGCCTCAGGAGCATTTTACTCTGCAAGTTCTTACACCATCTCACTGGGGTCAGTTTTTTGGGTTGGTTTTTTTCTTTTCTTTTTTTTTTTTGTCTTTTGGAGTGGTGGGTATCTTTTTTCTAGAAATTTTTTTAGTTTTTTTCTTGTACTATTTTTCTGCCCCCTAAAGGAATCCAGGAGGCAGAAATTATTTGTTTTCTCCTCAATACTAGTATCTGATTGGCTGACCAGCAATGTGTCTCCAAGAAATGAAAGCTGAATTGGGTGAAGGCAATATTAATGTCTCAAGGAATTAACTTTAAAAAAAGGTGCACCAGGAAATGCCTCTTAGCCTCTGGGCATCCACGCACACACCTGAGAAGCTACACTCAATACCTCAGGTTGTCCTAGGAGAGAATATGACCCAGAAGCTGATATTCACTAGACACTCTAGCAGACATAGCCATGGTGGGTGTCTTGGTTTATCCCCATACAGTACTGAAACCCAGGTTCAAGCAAAAACTGAAGGGTAACTGAAGACACATCACCCTATAAGGTTTCCAAAAGGAAAACCTGACCCAAAAACATTCTGATAAGATATCTGTGTCTAGGGAAAATAGAAGAAAAAAATGCACAGAGATATTTTACAATACAGTGTCAGGAGATTATTATTTGCTTTCTTCTCATAGGAAATAGTTACAAAGAGAAAACAAATCTTTTTAAATGTGCCATCAAATGCTTTGTCAAAAAAATAATTAATTGGCCAGATGCGGTGGCTCACGTCTGTAATCCCAGCTCTTTGGGAGGCCGAGGCGGGTGGACCACTTGAGGTCAGGAGTTTGAGACCAGCCTGGCCAACATAGTGAAATGCTGTCTGTACTAAAAATACAAAAAATAGCCAGACAGGGTCGTAGGCGCCTGTAATTCCAGCTGCTTGGGAGATTGAGACAGGAGGATCATTTGAGCCCAGTAGGCAGAGGTTGTAGTGAGACATTTTAAATGTCTCAACATTTAAAAATAAAAATGATTAAAATAGGTATCAAAATGTACACTACAGGACAAATAGTTGATAAAGTGAATTAGGGAGGAGAAATTGGCACTTGGGGATGTCAGATGAAACTGGAAATTTAGTATTTTACTGCAAGCCAGAGTTAGCCTGGAGGAATAGGGGATGAGGGGTGGACTTGAGGCCCTGCTTGGGACACATGTAAAAAAATTCAGGGAAAAATCAGTCCCCTGTGGAGTATGAAAATCATTAAGTGGCAGGCAATTAGACTGAGGTGTCTCTAGTCCCCGGATTTCTACTTCTGAAAATAAAAATCTAAACTCAAGAGCACTTTTTGGTAAATTACTACATTGGCAGAAACAAAATTTAGGCTTAACCAAGTATAAAATGCCAATTAAGCTCTGATTACATAACCAGGATATTTCTACCTTGATTGTAAAAACTAAGAAACGAGGCCGGGAGAGGTGGTTCACGCCTCTAATTCCAGCACTTTCAGAAGCAAAGGTGGGTGGATCACCAGAGGTCAGGAGTTCGAGACCAGTCTGGCCAACAAGGTGAAACCCCGTCTCTCCTAAAAATAAAAAAAATTGACCTGGTGTGGTGGCAGGCGCCTGCAATCCCAGCTACTAGGGAGGCTGAGGCAGGAGAATTGCTTGAACCCGGGAGGCAGAGGCTACGGTGGCCTGAGATAATGCCATTGTACTCCAGCCCGGGTGAGAGCGCAAAACTCCTCCTCAAAAAAACAATACAAAACAAAAAAAAACCCTACATAACTGTACCTAACAAATTACTGAATTTGGTTCTTTATCATGAACCTTATAAAAATATTTCCTTCAAGTCCTTTCATAGACCACAGATTACAAACCATAGCTGGGTGCTCTAAAATTTTTGAATCACTCTTTAATTAAATTATTTAATATTTTCGAGGTGACCTCCATAAATTTTTAATAGGAAAAAAACAGGCCCTGGGAAGCCCACGGACTAAAATTCTTCCTATTCATGAACCAGCACCCCGAGTCAGGATTCTCCCCTGACAACCCTCCCGTTGTCCCTGCACAATCTGGAAGAGACGTGGCGCTGCCGGTGCAGAGCTGCCCAGAGAGGGCTCCAGGCCAGGGCACAGTCACTGAGCAGGGAAGAGACAGGACGCCCGGAGCCCGGCTGTCAGCGCAGCCGCCATCTTATCGCTGAAGGGGACTGAGGCCGAGCTGGGCAAGGAGAACTCGGGGCACACACCGTGGAGCTGAATACGGAGAGGCCTGAGTCCCGCCACAGCCGCTTCCCACCGGTTTCAACCAGCCCCGTTCCCTCTCTCGGGACGTCGCACCTAGCACTCTCACCATTTCTAGGTTTCCAGGGGTTCCTGGCGTCTTCGCTGTGGATCTCCAATACCTGCAGGTCACAGGGCCACATAGGCTGGGCTTCCTGGAGCACAGGATACAGAGCAGTGAAGAGGGGACCTAGAGCTCCAGCGGCAGCGAGAGACAAAGGCCCCGCCACATCCCGGAAGCCGCCCTGTCTGCTCCAGCTTTGTGCCTGATTGGACAGTTCCCAGTCCAGCTTCCCTGATTAGATAACGTTTAAGACCCCGCCTTCTCGGGCCCTGAGTGACAGAAGATGTGATCAGACACTGGACTGAATGAAGGAGTGCCAGCGTAGGCTGCAGCCTTTTCAGGCAGGGCTTCCTCCCTGAGCTCAGCCAGGCCCACCTCAGAGCATGGGAAAATCCTGTCTCTTCTTTGCTCTCTTTTTCAATGCACTCAAAGTGTGAACAAAAATATTTTATGTATATTAATAATACATAAATTTTTTTTTCCAGAGACAATCAACTTTTACTTTATTAATAGTGTATTATCAATAATAAAGCCAATTTGATAAAACGTTGTAAGTCCCTCAGCCGGGCACGGTGGCTCACACCTGTAATCCCAACACTTTGGGAGGCCGAGGCAGGTGGATCTCTTGAGGTCAGGAGTCCAAGACCAGTCTGGCTAACATGGTGAAACCCCATCTCTACCAAAAATACAAAATTAGCTGAGCGTGGTGACACGTGCCTGTAATCCCAACTACTCGGGAGGCTGCGGTAGGAGAATTGCTTGAACCCGGGAGGCCGAGGTTGCAGTAACCCTAGATCGTGCCAATACACTCAAGTCTGAACAGTAAGAGTGAAATTTTGTCTCAAAAAAAACGAAAAATAAAAAATAAAAAATAGCTGAGCTACTCAGGAGGCTGAGGCAGGGGAATCGCTTGAACCCGGGAGGCAGAGGTTGCAGTGAGTTGAGATCATGCCACTGCACCCCAGAAAAAAAAAAAAGAAAAGAAAAGAAAAATAAAATAAAGTACATTGGTCTTTTTGACCTCTCTAGATTTTTATACATATTTTATAATTTCTTATAATTTTTTAATTTTTTTCTTTTTTTTTTTTGACAGAGTCTTGCTCTGTGGCCCAGGCTGAAGTCCAGTGGCGTGATCTCAGCTCTCTGCAACCTCTGCCTTTCAGGTCCAAGGGATTCTCCTCTTCAGCCTCTCAAGTAGCTGGGATTACAGGCGTGCACCACCATATCCGACTAATTTTTTGTATTTTTAGTAGAGGGTAGAGATGGGGTTTCACCATGTTGGCCAGGCTGGTCTCGAACTCCTGGTCTCAGGTGATCCACCTGCCTTAGCCTCCCAAAGTACTGAGATTACATGGGCAAGCCACGATGCCGGTCCATTTTTTAACATTTTATATTTTATTTTAATCTACATTATTTTTACTTTTTCAATTTGAAACAACCTTTAAGTAATTTCAAAACAGACAAATGTTTCTAACTTTTTTCATCAAGAGCATATTTTTCTTTTGTTTATACACTCTCTATTTTCTTTCAATTTCCGAGATAGAAGCTTGTTCTGTCACCCAGACCGAATAGAAGCTTGTTCTGTCACCCAGGCTGAAGTGCAGTGGCATGATTTCGGCTCACTGCAACCTCCACCTCCCAGGTTCAAGCGATTCTCCAACCTCAGCTTCTGGAGTAGCTGGGATTACAGGAGTGCACCATCATGCCCGGTTTATTTCCTTATTTCAACCAGTGACTGGAATTTGCCATGTTGCTCTGGCTGGTCTCGAACTCCTAAGCTCAAAATGATCTGCCTATCTCAGCCTCCTAAAGTGCTGGGATTACAAGGCATGAGCCATGACACCTGGCCTTAAACACGCTCTTTGAATAATTAGTCTTTTTTACATCTAGTAGTCTTAGTTTTTCATATATATATATAAAATTACATTAACTCTTAAACTAATTCTTAGTGAAATCCCCTAGGAAGTAATTTTGAACTGTTTTATTTATGTATTTTAATGTTAAATACAGTGAGTTCTAAATTTCTCTTCAAAGAATCGGTATGTCAGTATATTCAGCTCTCTTATTCTTTATTCTCCATTTTAAAGTTTAACTTCTTCATTGTTTATGTCTCCAGTTTTAGTAAACAACCTTCTCACCAGTACTAATCAGTAGTTTACATCTGTACCCCTGGTCACCTGCTCTGAGTCACCTTTGGTCACCTGTTCCATAAAAGTATTTCTCGCCCAAACTGCTCACCTCACCACTCTGGCTTGTACACCTCCTCTCTTTAAAACAGCCAATGGGAATTAGTTTAGACTGTGCAGTCCAACCCTAGCCAACAGGGGAATGACACAGCAGTAGGGGCTACCTGTGTCAGGGCTAAGGACCCCTTTCCCTCCCTTCTTCAGGTGTGCTCTTGCCATTGCTCCATTCGTGAGATGCACCCTTCTATAAAAGTAAATATTGCCTTGCTGAGAAAATTTACATTCAAGTACTATTTCTTTTGCAGCACCAAAAGTTTGCTTCTAACATTTAATAACAGATGTTTTTTCAAATTTTCTCTTAGCTAACAAATCTAAATATAGTTAGCTTTTTTATAACATATTAAAGATTCTGAGCTGGGTGCAGTGGCTCATGCCTGTAATCCCAGCACTTTGGGAGACTGAGGTGGGTGGATCACAAGGTTAGGAATTGGAGACCAGCCTGGCAAATATGGTGAAACCCCATCTCTACTAAAAAATACAAAAATTAGACAGGCGTGGTGGTGTGCACCTGTAGTCTCAGCTACTCAGGAGGCTGAGGCAGGAGAATCACTTGAACCCAGAAAGCAGAGGTTACAGTGGGCCGAGATCGCACCACTGAACTCCAGCCTGGTAACAGAGTGAGACTCCGTTTCAAAAATATAAAAAAATTAAATTAAATTAAAAAATTCTGGTCAGGCATGTTGGCTCATGCTTATAATCCCAGCAGTTTGGGAGACCAAGAAATGAAGACTGTTTAAGCCCAGGAATTTGAGATGAGCCTGGGCAACATGCCAAAAACACGTCTAAAAAAATTTTTTTTAATTAACTGAGCATGGTAGCCTGCACATTTAGTACCAGTTATTCAGGAGGCTGAGGGAGGAAAATTGCATAAGCCCAGAAGTTGAGGCTGCAGTGAACCCTCATTAAGTCACTTCACTCTATTCTGGTGACAGAGACCCTTTCTAAACAAAAAATGAACAGCCAAAACATAGAAAGTTAAACTTATGGGGTTTTGTGTTTTTTTGTTTTTGTTTGTAATTATTAATACTTCCAAAGTTTTTAAGGTACAGGTGATGTTTGGTTACATGGACAAGTTCTTTTGTAATCATTTCTAAGATTTAGGTGCACCCATACCCCAAGCAGTGTGCACTGTACCCAATAAATAGTCTTTTACCCCTCACCCCCTCTCCTGCCCTTTCTGCTGGGTACCCAGAGTCCATTATACAATTCTTATGCCTTTGCATTCTCATAGTTTAGTTCCCACTTACAAGTGAGAACATACAATGTTTGATTTTTTATTCCTGAGTTACATAGAATAATGGTCTCCAACTACATTGAGATTGCTGCAAATGCTATTATGTTATTCCTTGTTATGGCTGAGCAGTATGCATTGGTATACATACGCCACATTTTCTTTTTCCACTCATTAGCTGATGGGCATTAGGCTGCTTCCATATTTTTGCAATTGCAAATTGTGCTGCTATAAACATGCATGTGCAAGTGTCTTACTCATATAATTTTTCTTCATGTAGATACCCAGTAGTAGGATTGCTTAATCAAATGGTAATTCTACTTTTATTTAATGAATCTCCATACTGCTTTTCATAGTGATTGTACTAGTTTACATACCCACCAGCAGTGAAAAAGTATTCTTTTTTCACCACAGCCATGCCAACATGTATTATTTTTTGATGTTTTAATTATGGCTGGTTTTGCAGGAATTAGGTGGTATCACCTTGTGGTTTTGATTTGCATTTTCCTGATCATTAATCATTGGCAATGTTGAGCATATTTATCTATGTTTCTTGGCCATTTGCGTATCTTCTTTTGAGAATTAAGCCTCATCTGTCTTTGTTTTTTGTTGCATGTGCTTTTGGGTTCTTGCTCATGCACTCTTTGCAAAAGCCAATGTCTAGAAGAGTTTTTCCAATATTCTAGAACTATTATAGTTTCAGGTCTTAACATTTTTTATCCATCTTGAGTTGATTTTTGTTTCGTTTATTCTTGCTTTGGCTATGCAGGCTCATTTTTTGTTTCATATGAATTTTGTTTTTTAGTTCTGTGAAGAACTGTTATTTTCATGGGAATTGCATTGAATTTGCAGATTACTTTTGGTAGTATAATCATTTTTACAATACAAATTGTACACATCTATAAGAATAGGATGTGTTTTCATTTGTTTGTGTTATCTATGCTTTCATTAATTTCTTTTTTTTTTAGACGGAGTCTCACTCTGTTGCCCAGGATGAAGTGCAGTAGCATGATCTTGGCTCACTGCAACCCCCGCCTCATGAGTTCAAGCGATTCTCCTACCTCAGCCTCCTGAGTAGCTGAACTACAGGTGTGTGCCACCACACCTGTCTAATTTTTGTAGTTTTAGTAGCTACGTGGTTTCACAATGTTGGCTAGGCTGATCTCGAACTCCTGATCTTGTGATCCACCCACCTCAGACTCCCAAAGTGCTTGGATTACAGGGGTGAGCCACTACACCAGGCCTCTTTCAGCAATGTTTTATGGTTTTCTTGTAGCAATATTTCATCACCTTTCTTAGGTATATTCCTAATTATTTTATTTTTGTGCTGCTGCTTTAAAAGGGGTTGAGTTTTCGATTTAAATATCAGTTTGGTTGCTGTAGGTGTATACCAATGCCACTAATATTTGCACATTGATTTTGTATTCTGAAATTTACTGATTTATCAGACCTAGGAGCTTTTTGATAAGTATTTAGGGTTTCCTAAGTATGTAATTATAACATCAGTGAACAGTGGCAATTTGACTACCTCTTTACCAACTTGGGTGCTCTTTCTTTCTTTCTTTTCTCCAATAGATCTGGATAGGAATGCCAGTACTATGTTGAATAGAAGTGGTGAGAGTGGGCACTATGGTCTTGTTCCAGTTCTCAGAGAAAATGTTTTCAACTTTTTCCCATTCAGTGTAATGTTGGATGTGAGTTTGTCATAGATTACTTTAAAAAAATTTTTTGGAAGAGATTGATTCTG